AAAATGGGTTTAATAAGATTTTACAAAAACATGAACATGTTCATGTCTACAACATTAAGTTCTTTTATTTACTCCTATATTGATATCTAAGTGATAAATATATTTTCAAAGTAAACGATTGTCTTTGAAATTTTCAGTTAAGTAAAACAAGTTTCTAACTGATTTTTAAACATTTCTTTGCATTTATCTCATAACTAAAATTTGTTAATTTTAGCTTCAATGCGAAGCTGAGAAGGTTTAGGTTTTACTATGATGTATTTTTTTTTTTTTTCTGTTNGTTTAGGTTTTACTATGATGTATTTTTTTTTTTTGTCTGTTACCACTTTTTTTCAGCTCTCACCGAACGGATTTCTTTCAACGATACGTCAAAAGATCAAAAATCATATCTAGTCGAAGACATTACCCATAAAAATTAAAAAAATTTCACTCGTTCCCCGTAAATGGGCGAAACCTCCAAAAAAATTACAAATTTAAAAATCGCTAATTTTCGAAATTTTAAAAATTTTTTTTACTAAAAACTGCCGTAACTTTTTCAAAAATGAACATATCAATATAATTTGTTTTTTTATAGATGCTTGATGTCTTNAAATTTTTTTTTACTAAAAACTGCCGTAACTTTTTCAAAAATGAACATATCAATATAATTTGTTTTTTTATAGATGCTTGATGTCTTTACCTATCATTTGGTATATTTTTTTTGTAAATTTGACCCTTTATCTGCCCACAGAAGGGGGATTTAAAATGACAATTTTTTCACAAAAAATTAACTTTTTCAACTTAACTTTTGAAAATGTTCCGGAAGGTCTGACACTTTTATATATATCTTAAATTAAAGCTAATTTAATATACTTTGATTTAAAAAAAAAAAAAATTATACTTGATCCAACTATGCTACGTCACCACTGTGCCGCGACCTCCCTGTGCTAGGTTTTTTTTAATTTTTATTCTTTTTAGTTGTTAAGACTTATAATGTATCTTACAAAATACTAACAATACCTTCATAATAAAATTAGTAAATAAACGCATTTAAATAACCAAATGTCTTAAAATAATCATTGAAGTTAATTTTAATTTAATTACAGATTACTTTTTTACTAACTTATTAGCTAGTAAAAATAATTCTCGTCTTAAAAACTTTTATAAGAGCTATTTTAAATTATTAACGTTTTTACGTATTTTTTCAAGAAAATTTTATGATAATGATTAAAATTATATTTTTCTTTCAATGACAATATATTTAAATAATATATACATTTCTTTGTTTTTTAAGGTCATATAATTCGTGTTAATATAACTATCGTTTTATAAAATAAGTAGATTCGAAAAATCAAAACTTCTCTTAGAATTTAAAATGCAATAAAAACCTAAAAACTGTCTAAAATAAATATTTATTTTTATAATAATTATAAATTATTCTTAATTATTATGAAAAAGCATAGTGATGAATAGATAATATAAATATTTACTTAAAATAAACAAATCACTTCTAATTTATACCTTCAAATGCTAACATTTAATGTGCGACTTTCTCTCAATATTATAATATTTTTGTGTATACAATATTTGCTTAAAATAATATTTTTTTGTATATTATNCCAACTATGCTACGTCACCACTGTGCCGCGACCTCCCTGTGCTAGGTTTTTTTTAATTTTTATTCTTTTTAGTTGTTAAGACTTATAATGTATCTTACAAAATACTAACAATACCTTCATAATAAAATTAGTAAATAAACGCATTTAAATAACCAAATGTCTTAAAATAATCATTGAAGTTAATTTTAATTTAATTACAGATTACTTTTTTACTAACTTATTAGCTAGTAAAAATAATTCTCGTCTTAAAAACTTTTATAAGAGCTATTTTAAATTATTAACGTTTTTACGTATTTTTTCAAGAAAATTTTATGATAATGATTAAAATTATATTTTTCTTTCAATGACAATATATTTAAATAATATATACATTTCTTTGTTTTTTAAGGTCATATAATTCGTGTTAATATAACTATCGTTTTATAAAATAAGTAGATTCGAAAAATCAAAACTTCTCTTAGAATTTAAAATGCAATAAAAACCTAAAAACTGTCTAAAATAAATATTTATTTTTATAATAATTATAAATTATTCTTAATTATTATGAAAAAGCATAGTGATGAATAGATAATATAAATATTTACTTAAAATAAACAAATCACTTCTAATTTATACCTTCAAATGCTAACATTTAATGTGCGACTTTCTCTCAATATTATAATATTTTTGTGTATACAATATTTGCTTAAAATAATATTTTTTTGTATATTATAAATATTAATATTATCTTATTATTTAATTTTTTGTATAATTACATTTTTGTATATTAAAATACATTGTGTGATTAAGATTTCGAACAGTTTTTTTAAGTGTTCATTTGACAACTCTTACAGACATGGATTGTCCAGTCCATACAGGTTACGTAAAACAATTAGTTAACTTTTTTGAATCTGTGGAACATGTAAGTAATTTTATGACTCGTTCAAATATAAAAATCGATAAGCACAATGTTATACGACTGGTAACTGTGTAAATTGTATAATTACGTAGGCTAGCCGTGAGAAAAAGACTAGACTCACACTACGTTCCAGCTCCAGGGAATTACAAAGTGACAAAAAAGAAAACAGGCCGATACACATAATCACATCACTGGACGGTGAAAATACCTTTCAACCATCGTCATTGATAACGATATCAAACCTGTTAAAACCATGTGCTGAACAAAGCCACCTTCATGAAGAGATTCTATTCTTTATAATATCTATGATAATATTAGATAAGCTTGATCGACTTTATTCCGAACGCTTCAGATTATTGCAAGTTGTACCCCTCGTTTCACCGAATAATGAAGAATTTTCATTAGATACTGATGTTCCTGATCATATTTGTTCTAATGCTGCTGAAATGCCAGTTGAAGTCTCTTCATCTTCACAACACGCCCCACCTAAAATGTCTAGACCAGTAAAAATACCGCGAATTGCTTCCAAAATACCGATTAGGATTTCAAGAAATAAAATCCCAAAGGATAGTAAACCTAGTAAATATCTTTTTTTTTTTTTATTGCGTGACTTGAGAATGAAACAAATAATATTTAAATTCACAGCGACGATATCACAGCTATTGAAATCTACTTTAAGACTTAACGATTCACCCGATGTGAATAAGCGTCCACGCACTGTACGATTCAATGAAGATGTGTCATTATATTGTTATCACTCTCAATCGCCCATTGTACATAAAATACCCAACCGTAGACCTAAAAAAACATTAAAAGTCCCCCTTTAAGGCTATAATGATCCCCGTAATATGAAATGTTTTAGCAATGCTATTCTTTTGTATTATTTTTATTTATTTATTTTGTAATATTACAATTGTTGTCTGAATCGAATCGTAGTGCTGTGTACAAATTTGTTTGGATGTGCAGATCTGTCAAAATAGTTATGTATTGGATAAATTCATATGTTTTATTCCAAACGTCAAACAAGTTTGGCATATTGAATGGATTTCATTGCAAATTAAATATATATGTGGTAAGTCTTGTGTTTTATGCGTAATCGATTAAGTATTGCTTTTTCTTTTTTATTTAGATTGATATATTCCGACTAAGTGTAGCATTTTTCATTTATTTTTATTTAAATTGATGTAATTGCCAAAGAGCCATATTTTGTTTTGAATGTTTACTTAATTTTTTTGTGTTATCGTACGTGTTAGTTATACAACATGTTCAGTATGTAAGGAAACAGGTCCATTGTTAAAAACTATGAGAACAATAGAACCCATTTCCTTACTTACAGAACACCCTATATAATAAGTGTGTTGTTTAATTGACATTTCAATTTTATGTAGTTAATGACAGTTCAAAATATAATGCATTTATAGTTTTAATAAAAACTGCAAATATAGTTTTCAGTTTATAGATATAAATTTTTTATGTTTAAAAACCGCATTAAATATTTGATAGAAAACAAGTTAAATTTTTATGACTCGCTAATTTTATATTTTTTAGTTTTGACTTATACGTAAAAACATATTACTTTCAAAAACGATAATATTCAGTAGATACCTATTTGTTTTAAAAATTGATGGAACATTTAACAATGGAGCTGATTTGAACAATTTGTATACACAACACTTGTCCAAAAAATAAATTTTATACTACGTTAAATATAGTTAAATACGTTTGATAATCGATCGAAGGAGCTCAAATATAGAGAATTACAGTGTTGAAATAATATTGAATCTTTTGAATGGATTATTGATTGTATTAACGACTTACTTTTACTATTTTACAAACACAAATTTACGATCATGCAGTACTAAAAACATCTTTTTTTTTTTTTATACGCTTTTCATTAACCCATTTAGGGCCATAGCGGTCTCCCCCAAAGGAGGATGTTTTCTTAACCACTTATACCCCGGAACGGGTGGTTAGTCCGGAGAATGGGATGGTGACTCTAATTACCAAACTGATCTCTTGTTCGGCAAATGAAGCCGTCCGTACCGAGTTTCGAACCTGAGGCAGTGCACGTCAAGCACTGACGCGTTAACGACTCGGCCACATCGTCCCACCCAATTAGCAACATAATTAGCAAATTAAAATGTTTCCAATGTTTTTACTTTGTATTTAATCTATTGGTGAATAATGTATTTGAATACTTTGATAAAAGATTACACGCAAGAAGTAATATTCTTGAAATGCTCTAAGAATAGGAAATGAATTATGAATAAAATAAAATAAATCATTTTATGTACTTTAATTGATGATTTCTATAAACTATTAATTACTATAAAATGAAAAAATATATAAAATTAGTAATAATTGCAAATAGTAACCCAAGAGTTTCTTTTCGAAACAAATTGGTGTAAAAGGATATGAATTTGAATATTGAGTTTTAAATAGTTGTTTTGAAAGAGTATTTTTCATCAAACGTATTATGTTCAACTATTATCAATAAAAAAAGTTGAGTTTTTTTATATGATTCCATATTAATGTACGTTAATTCTTAATCTTTTAAGAATGTTAAAAGTACAGCTTATTTATGTTTCCAACAAAAAAAAAAAATCATCCAAATTACATAAGTATCAAGGTTTACGTAACACATTATATTATTTTAAAATTAATACTAGTCATTATTATATTAACTGTAAAAATAAAAACAAAAAAAACTCAACGTTTTCGAATTTATTTGAATTTTCAACGTTATGATCTTGAACATGATAAAGTTTGAATTTTTTTTAAATATTGTATTTTAATAAACGTCTAGTATTAGATAAAATGTTAAGAAATTAAATGCAAGAAAGTGTATGATAGTAAAATATAAAAGGAAATAATCCCTCTGTAGTTGTCCATTGAGTATGCCTGTGTTATATTATGTAGTAAAGTTAGGTACTTATTAGCCGACCAATCTTATGATGTATGCTTATCTCGTTGTAATTTTTTTAGTTAATTATTGAATCGTAATCGATTAACAGTAAAAAAAATGTTGTTACTCGATAAAAATATTAGAATGTTTTTAGCTGTAGTATTTTTACTATCAAGGAACAATAATTGACAAGACGTTAAATTATATTTCTATACTACTGTTTTTATATTTCTATTTTAGGTAATGTTAAAAATTGTCTTACAATAGGAAAGGCCTTCAAATATTTTATTTTAGATATATTGTATGAATATTGATTTATTTCTAATCAATTTTTATCTATAGTTTTAATTTAAAATAGATATTTATAAGACGGTTACCATTGTGCATTTAAAGTAATCAGTCATTATGTATTATGAAATTATTACAAATTTGAAAGCTAGCCAAATACCAGAGGATTTTTTATCGAAGACTTCCGACTTCCTTGTTGAACTACTCAATATACCAAAAACTGTAAGTACCTATTTAAAAATGCCAAGCATATAGTGCAAAATGTATGCATTTTACTTTCACGTTATAACACTATTATTTTCCAACCATTGTTAATTTTATTCTACTTGTTCTTATGACGCCTTTTGTTTTACTAATTTATTTTAATTTTTTTGAAAAGAATTATGATGTGTTCAATTACATAACAACAAATAACAAAACATTTTTTATTGTTCACAACTTTTATATGAATTATATATGGAATTCTGAATCTGACTTCAGATTTTTTCTATTATATAATAATTGTTGAGATAATTATAAATTAGTAATTAAGCGATTATATTATAAAATTATATTTTTTAACTTTCCTAAAATAATTTCATGATATTTAATTTAAGTTGTACCAAAATTAGGACGGCTTTGTCAAGTTGAGTTTAAGTGTCATGTAATAAAAAGCTCAACTTTCGAGTGTAATTAATAAATAAATAATTTTATGAAGAAAAATATTAGTCATAAAAATAATAGTCAATATTTAAAAATATATTGACTTTATAAGTATTTTTATAAAACGACGAAATAAAAAAAAAACAAGAAAATATTAAAAATTTGCAACAAATACTGTTTTATTTTATATACCTTTCCAGTATTGTTTTATTTTTGAAACAATTGAGTAATTACATAAAATAATTTTACATATTTTTATTGATATTACATCATAGTAAACCTAATTCAAATTTTCACAATTGTAAGTTAACCAAACAAAAAGTTATACTCGAATGTTTAGATTTTTTTTTTTAAATATGACTAAGAATAAACTAATAAAATTCGAACATTCGTATAAAATTGTTAGAACATATCCAAATTTTGAACAACTCTCATTAAGTATCATGAAATTATTTTAGGTAGGTTAAAAAAAATCATATTTATTAATTTTAACATTATTGACAAGTTAATTAACCTATGTGATTTAAGTCATAATTTTTATTCCTTTCATCTTATTTTGTGTTGAAAATTATAGTTCTAAAAAATATATAATAACATCATGGTGATTGATTTATAATTGATCATATATTATACAAAGTTTATTATTTATTATTCACAAATGAATCATTACAATGCTCACAAAATTTGTATACAAATTGAAGATTATACTTGTTATACTTTTGAGTTTTAAATTAGTCGTGATGAATATCATTAATTTTTTACTTCAATGTGTAGTTGAGAAGCTATTGGTTTTACTTTGCTGTATTTTTTTTGTGTCTGTATATGCCATTACTGTCGTTCTTATTGGGTCATTTTATTCAATGATTTTAATGTCAAAATTTTACAAAACGTATCTAGTTAAATCTATCGGTACCATATTTTTGAAAATTTTTCCTCAGTTCCAATAATTCAAAGAAATATCTAAATAAATTACAGTTGTCATAAAACAATAGATGTTCATATTTATAATTTTCACTTCATATTGAAATATCATTTTGAAAACTGAACGGCTTATTGCGAAAGTTTTAATAATACTTCAAATGTTTGCCTTGCTAATGGTGTGTTATTCTTATAAATTTAATCATTAACTAAGGTACTGAGGAAAATTAAAAATAATTTAATTTATTAAATTTAATAATTTTTTTTCCTTTTCAATTTTTTAAAATGTTCCAAGAACCAACCTTTTTTAGCCTCACATCATATTAAAGCTAATATAATTTATTTTATGATTAAAAACGAAAATTAACTTAAATCTCAATCGTTAGAAGTTATCGAACATTAGTAAAAAAAAGACCAAAAATCATACAATTTTCGATAAAAATGGCTAATTTCGTAGTATTTTGCAATGTATTGAAACACTTACAAATATTCTAAATTATTTTACACTAAATCTTTGTTTAATATAATACACGTTTAAAAAAAAGAAAAAACATCCCGGTGACTTGTTCGTTATGCATAATCAACTCTATAGTCAAAAATCATGTAATTTTTCTTTATATGTTTCGAATACGCATCTAAACAGCTTTAATATGAGTAATGGGAAATAACGTACTCATATGAACATGATAAAATTAAAAAAAATAAATTAAATTTTTATTTTTTATGAATTTGAACGTTTTTGGTTTGTCTATTGCAAAGTTCATTTGAATGGCTACCAACAATTAAGTTTATGTAAAAATTTCTAGGATATATATTAAACATAAGATTTAAAATTAACATTGATTTTGCTTTAATTAAAATTATATAAACATTTATATCTTAGCGAGATAATGATAATTTGTTAACACGGTAAAACTTTAATAAGATCGTGGTTAGTACTATAGACATAAAATAGTGTTTGAAATGAATGCATTCGTTTTTCAGGTGAAATTTTCAAACTCTATATAAAAAAATTATAAATTTTATTTCACAAAATGTTTTTTTAATGTCTTTATTATTTTAGTTTTGTCATTAATTTTAATATGAAAGTTCCCTATGATGAACTCGAACTATTTGAATTTTTAAAAAGAACTTTTCTATTACTATCAGATGTTAATAAATACTAGTTTAAAAAAACCTCAACTTCACTTTACTTGATCCCTACAGTACTTCAATTTTTATTTATTGAAATTATGATAAAAAAAAAAATCAAAAATCTATTTTACTTAACATAGTATATTTTAAAATTTTCTATTATATATTTATCGGTGAGATTCAGAAATTTTTTTATAACTTTATTATGTTTACAGGTTATAATGGGACATTTGAGTAGTGAGCAAAAATTTGACTTTTTTGGTTCTAGTGAACCTTGTGCTATAATGCATATAACACGAGGTTCAGTGAAACCTGGTACACCGCAAGAGGAAGATGCTTTTGAACGTTACGCCAAAGCTTTAAGTGAACATTTTAAAAAATATCTTCCTATAGATATATCCAGGTAAAATATATCTTAAAGATTTTTCATTAAATTTTAAATATACAGTTAATTTATTATAAATTACCCCATTCTTTTGTTAAATAATTATTTTTTCATAAAAAATTAATATTAAAATTAAGTTTATTTGTATAAATCATTGAAATATCAAGTTTATTACAAGAAAAAATTATTTCTAAGGGTAGATTTTAGGGGTAACATTCAAAAGTTAAATGGGAACAAATTTCAGAAGTGATTTACAATTTAATGTTATCACTTAAGGTAAAGAATGGGCGCTGCTATTTTTATCACTAGGCATTTCCTGGCCTAGCCTAGGTATAAAAATGATAATATCTTCCAGAGAACTGGTCTAAAAGTACTTATTATTGAACAGTTATTTTCTTAACTAGATTATTTTCTATTTTATAAGCTAGTTAACACCCTTTTAAGTTATATGGAATGATTCTTATATGTCTTTATTAGCTGATAAATAAAAAATATATGTAACTAAAAGAAATCAAAATACTATTTCTAAAATTGTATTTATTTTGTGAGTAATCAAGTAATTTATGATAATCCAATTACTTTGTATATACAAAGTTGTATATGTTTCATATAACTAAATATGAAAGTATATAATAAAGTTATTATAAAAAAGGTTTTTTTTTAAAAGCTACTTTTACTTGGGAAAACATGTCTTCGATAAAAACTGTATTAAGTATAATAAATGTATAAGATCTTAAAAAAATTGACAAGATTGCGTTTTTCTGACAGGATGATATTAATTTACTAAAAAGTGGCGCTCTTTGTAACATGGCATACATTTTGTTTAAGACTCCAAAATATGAGTAAATTTAATTATATTGAAGTTTATTTTTAAATAAAATTAAGCCTTTTAATAAAAATAGTGTGAGATGTTGTGTTCTATGAAGTGGTTCCAGTGAATATAGATGACAACAAAAAATTTTAACAACATTTTCAGACATTTGACATACAATTATAATTAAAAAAAAAAAATCATTAAAAATAGGTTTTTATTTAGTAGAAATCTCGGAAAACCACAGTGAATTTTTCTTAATAACTCTGCGTTATATTATGAAAATACTTTATCTAAGCACTTCGAAGCAGTTTTTACTTATACTTTAATAAAATTAGTTTTTTTGTAAAATAGATTAATGATCTACTATCATGAACATAACGTTGCGTTGATGGGAAACAATGGAACAACATTTAAACGCTTTCGTAAAACTTGATAATGTTTTCATTGAAGATAAATAGTAAGAATGTACTTAACCTAAGGGTTCTTTGTTATTAGTAATTTTAAATATTTAAATAAAAATATGTTTTTAATATAAGTTAAGATTTTCAATTTATTTACCTAATAATTCTATAAGGTCGAACTATGTGTACATTTATATTAAAATTCTTCAAATTAAAAAGCTTCCTTAATTTTTTCTTTAAACATATCAAATATTCTCTAATTTTTTTTAAGCTCTATAGATAATTATTCATGTCGATAAGATACAAAGTTAAAACATTTAGATCAATAAATACTTTAAGACAGTTTTTAATAAATTACATACTTCTTTTCCACATAATTCATATATCTTTTTGGAATTATAGTTTTGTATTGTAAATCAAAAATATTAGAGCAATAATATTATTTATTTGATTTTGCAAGATATTATACCCACTCAACAATTATTTCACCATGTGGAAAATTACACTTTATTAATACATTAAATTGTATTACATTATTACATTTAATAATACATAGTAAATAAATTACCCTTAAAAATTAGAGAAAGTTACCATTATTTACACTTCCCTTATAATGTCATTGTATAACAGAAGCACTGTTCTATATTAGGAATATAAAAGATATTTGGAAAAAAACTGAATATATACACTATATAGGTTTTTGAATATCAAATAAAAATACCAATGAATTGTACCGACTTTTTATATTTTTCATTCTATTTGGTACAAAATTACAGACCTAAACATTGTAATACATACATTAATTTATTAATATGAATTACATGTAAATACAACACTGATAAATAAACTTGTTCTTAAATTCAAATAATTAAGCCCTGCTCATTTCAAAACCCTAAAACAAACAAGTATTACATAGTAGAAACGTTGTTATGTTTGAGCTAAGGCGTGATGTCAACAAAAGACGGTAACAACAAACTAGGGCTCGAAAAGATATTTGTCACAATTATTAAAAAATGGTAAACATAATGTAATATATTGTATGTATAATAAAATATTATTATACACAAATATACTTATACATGTAATATAGGAAGAGATGTATATTATATGTACATATATAATAATAATAATTAATTAATTAATTAATTATAATATATCTCATTATTTAATATTTATGTATAAAAAAAGTAAATAGGAATTTGGACAAAATCGGGGACCCTGAATTACCAAGCTTATATAAAATAGACAGTCGATAGACAAATGTAGTTTTAGAAAGAGAATATATTATTAATTTACCATATCAAAGTAAAAAGAATGATAAGGGAGGGAAACGAATTAAAATTTGTACAAACATTTGGCGAAAAATTGACTAGTTGTTAAAAACATAAACAAATACACACTAATAACTATACTCAACAAATATATAAATATTTATACTTGTAGATTAAGAAAGGTAACATTTTGAAAGTGTTTCTAATAGAATAAATGTAATGATTTTAGTAAAAAAAAAATGTAAGAAAATTGACGTAATGGAAACATTAAAATTAATTTTTAAGTTACATCAAATATACATTACATGAATAGTAGATGAAATAAATGAACCTGGCCTAAATATTAAAATATCTATAAAATAACAAAAAACACAGCCTTTATAAAAAAAAATACACATAACATAAAAACTTTTTAACATTTAGGGATCGATACAATAGAACAGAATCATAAATTATCTGTTAAAATTAGGTGTAATTACAAAAATAATGCAATATAATACAAATTAAATTATTTTTTGGCTTTTTCTGTAATAATTTAGATCTTTGTGGTTAGATTTATAATATTTACAGATTATAATTATACAAAGTTAGTATTGTGTATACAATTTGAATTTAAATTCTATTTAAGATATTAAGCTGTCAAACATTAAAATAATGATATTAGTAAAATAAAAATTCATTGAAACGGTTAAGAAAATCAACAGAAGTTATTTTCAAAATATTTAATTAACTTTTATTTTTATCAGTAACGAAAAAAAATAGGAGATACCGTTAATTTTTAGGTTAGGTTCATTTAATTAAGGATTTTTACATGGCTTGTAACTTTGTGTTCGAAATGTTTTTAAAAATACTTCCTACCAACTACAATGACAAAATTTAATTTATAAACAAATATATTAATTAGTGGTATAATAGTGTTATTATTTTAAGAGCTATAACATCAATAAATATAAAAAAATGACTAAACATGAACGGTAATAATCAATAAAAAATTAAAGGAGAACACTACGATAAAAACAGTTTTCAAGAACAAAAAACAAACGAGCGATAATTTTTCTCTCTCCAAACAACACAAACTAATTAATAATAATAATTAATTAATAATTAATAACGCGTACTTAAATTAATAACAACGAATTACATCAAAACTAATGATAAAGTGATTTTTTATTCGTGTGTTATATATGAATATATAAATATGTAAATGAGATTAAAGAATTCCGTCTGCTGTTCACTTTTTTCTAGTATTTTAAAAATTAATATGTACATATACACGTATATTATACAGACAGAGAATAAAGCTTTTGATGATTTCCACACACACACTCACTCCTAACTGTTGTTTAGATAAACTAGGGACTGAACTTTGTGTTGTGGGCACAAAATAGGAAGCACATGAGTTGCTTTTGGGCTAACTCATTTTGTCTTCCACCAATAGTTGACCTTTTCGCCAAGTTTGCGACACCAGCCGACTAGTTTACGTCACATCGCCGCCACCGAGTCTTCGTCGCCTTCTTCCAATGTCACATGGAACCTAATGTTGGGATCTTGATCACTACTAGGTTTTGATTCGTCATCTCCGCTATCCCGATCTTCGGCAGATTCTGTTGCAGGTGGACTTGGTGGAATCATACCTATCAAGTAATGCATATATTATATTATTTTACTCTTAATGTATATTGACAATAAATAAAAAACCAATATAAGCTTAAAACTTACTTTGATACCAGTCTCTATTTTCTTCAAGCGTGTCGAGTATTTCTTGGGCATCTGGGTGTACTAAATCAGCCCACGTTTCCCAAAGAGGATGTACAATATAATCGATGAAACCCACCTAAAATAATAAAACAGTTATACATTTAGAATATATAAATTTACTTTACTACACCAAAGAGTTTAGTCTTACTTGTGACTTCTCTATCGTGGCACTATGTCTATCACACATTGGACTAATGTCCAAATTTTGTTCTCGCTCTTTATCACCCTGTTGGAAGAATTCTTCCATTAGAAGGTCAACCCACCTTCTATACAATTCTAGTGGTTTTGTTGGATTACTCAAATCTGCACAGTGAACTAAATTCTGTAACACCTATTAACACATTTTTTTTAATTACAGAAATTAGAATAAATTTTAATATTACTATTATAATTTTTATTTTTTAATATTTTCATACACAGAGGTACAGTTTACCTCCGTGTACAGAAATATATAGCAGACTTTTTTTAGAATGCTCATTGAATTACTTTCTCAAAAATAGTGGCACCTCATTTTCAAAGGTAAATGAGACTTGGGATAGTTTACCTCTGGTGTGCAGATTTAAAAAATAGGGATTTTTATAAAGATCAAGTGAGGAATATTAGAAGACATTAGTTTAAATTAATACTAAAATATACTGATAATGAAAAATTGATTAGTAATAGCTTCGTTTTAAATTAATAGTTTTATTTTCGTTAATCCATACATTTGATACGAAAAATAATATGAAAATATAAAATGTTGCGTTCTATGAAATGTTAATTAAACCATTTTTTATGTAAATCTTTAGATCTTAGTGTATAAGTTTCAATATAATAATAAGTTATTATTGATATTAATTTTTTCTAGTTTTTTTGAAATGAGAAAATGAAAAATAAAAATTAGGTATAAAGGGATATTTTTGTGATATAACAATAGATATATTTTACCTGTATCCTATCAGTATAATTATCAAGTAGTAAAACTCCAGAACCGGCAACTTTTTTTGTTTCCACCATAGTTTTTAAGTCTGCTAATAGACTCATGTGTTTAGACATATCAGTCGATAGCACCTATAAAAAAATTGACACGATTTAGAAATTAATTTAGTATATAAATAATGTATTTTAATTATCATACCATATCAATAACCATTTTCCTAAGAGTTTGTCTTTGTTTTTTGTTGACATTTTGAAATATGTCACATCCATCGTTTTGTAAAAGTTTAAAGGCTACGGCTAAGTGATGATTCTCTAACACAGACTCGTCGTTATACATTAAAGCCAATTCAGAACCTATTAATTTAAATACAATAAATTTTTTTTGTTTTTTGACAAACAATAAACTAAATTGTAAAGTTGTATACTCACTTGAATTGATAAGGAATTGATTTGTAAGTCCAGGGTGGTCGACATCGTGTATCGCCGCTGCAAATAATGCAGCTGTTATCTCCAGTGGTGTGAAGACGCTCTATATATACATTTAAATAACAATAAATAATTGACAATAGTTAAAAAAAAAAAAATTACTTCTAATGCCGGAGAGTTAAGTAAAACATTAGTGGATTGTACAACATCTGCCGCGTGTGTACTGTTATGAAAAGGATTGTCTTTAGCGTAATGATCTTCCAAAGTCATCATAAATGTTACAAACGTTTTGGCTGGAATCATAAATGTTTTCAAAAGGTCTCGATTCTGAAAAGTAGCGAAAATGAGTTGTTATTGGCTCTAAATCAAGTAACTAAAATTGAATTGGTTAGAAAAAGTCATTTACTTGAAATACGGTGTAGGCAATCGCCGTTAATGGTCTGTTATTTGAAAGATCTGATATCCGGAATATATCGATTCCCCATTTGTCTATTTCTGCTAATGTCTGAAAATAAATAAAAAGTTGATCAGCATTTTTGTATTAATTTATCACTTGATTACCAATAGTTTTATTTTTGATTATTTTTGTAATTAAAATGATTTTGTAGAAGTGAATTGAAAAATTTTACTATTTCTAAGAAAAGTGTACTGATTTATTTCTATAATGATACTAACAGAACCCAATTCTTCTTCTTTCATTGTATCTACACCAAATTTGGGTAATCGTTCACCGGTAAAACTGTTCGTGTGTGATAACGCCCGTTTCACACCAGAAATATGTGACATAGGCGTTACTTTGGATTTGATGTCTTTTTTTTTAGGTTGAGCACCTGACTGAGAACTGGTCGTTGCCCCTGAGGAAGAAGAGGAAGTAATGGCTTTAGTCGGTCGAGCTTCGTCCTGCTGGTTTTCGTCTAACCGCAGCGACGGGATGTCTAACTCCTGTTGCTTATCTATAAAAGTAATTTCATGTTACACTATATAAAATTCAATAAGATGAAACCATTTTTCTAATTAAAATAAAATCGAAAGTTCAGAAATAATTTTAAGCTTTTAATTATTTAAATAATTTAATAATAATAATAAATTATTAAGTTAAATAATTTAAATACATACCGAGAAAAGTAGAACATATATATTCTGATATTTGATTCCCAGATTTGCTTGATTCTGAAAAGTGGCTTAACTCTTTGTTAAGCATTCTTTTGAACTGGAATATCAATACCAATATTAATTAATTTGATCTTTGATGAAATTATAAATAAATAATTTCCAGATGAATTTCTACTAAGATTTAGATACTCAATATTACATTAAAAATATAGTTTTAAGGAAAATAAACTAATATAAATTTTTTTCTTTATATACATCTTTTTTAATTTTACTAGAGGCAAAGTTTTACATGTTGATTTAGACTTTTCGTAAATTTATAATTGGACAAAAAATTTCAAGCGTAGGTTTTCTTTGAGATTTTGTATTAAAAGTAAAAGAAGATTTCAACCATCTCTGTACATTTCACTTTTTATTATTGTTTTCCTTTATATTTTTAGTTGAACGAATATCATGATTTATTTTTGTTATCTTTTCATCTCATGTTTTTCGAATTCTGATTTCAAATTTGAATTATTTGATTTAAATTTTAAATTTTATAAGTTATGTGGATGAACTAAGAAATAAGTTTACATTTAAAAACAAATATTGTTTTACTTTACCAAATGTTTATGATTTAAGACTACCTAATTATTATTTAGACAGTATACTAATATTTTTTACATACAATAACCTTAGTAACGCTAGATTTTATGTTCTTAAGTTTTAAATTTTTTTATTTTTATATTCTAATATTTTTAAAATATATAGCAACATACTAATGGATTTAAACATTTCACCACACAAATATTTTTATGTATTATTAAAAGAAGTTTTTATATAGAAAATATGTACTTGAGCTATGTGGATTATAACCGATAGCGTTCTATTTTTTTGTTATTAACTAAAGTACTTCATGATATGTACTATTATAAACTGTAACTAACTTTTAGTTGATGTTAGAACAACAGTTCATATTATTTAAAATGGTTCTGAAAAATCATGAAAGAAAATTTAACTTTATCTATGTAATACATTTTTTAAATAATTGGTTTTTAATTTACTCTTTAATTAATAAATCTTAAAGCCAAACTTAAATGTAAAATAATACTTTTTTATTTATTTGACCTTTAATATTGGTTTAAGCAAGTTCTCATATAAAATATTTTTACAAGAATTCAATTGTTACTAATTATAGTATTATTATATTAACAAAACTAATGAAATGGTTACTTTTTTTTAATTTATTATCTTGAATATTAAATGTATAGATCTAATTTGAAAATCTAATGAAATTTTACTCTGTACAATTATTTTTACTGTTTTGCAACAATTATTTTTTAGTATGTACTAAGTATTTAAATTTTTTTCAACAAAACAGTTAAATAAATAGTTAATTTTTTGATAAAAAAAAATTAAACCACAAATACCTTAGATGAAGCCATGTCTGAAACGGATCTGTGCGTTTGGATGGTTTCAAGTTGATCCAAACACCAATCCAGTTCTTCGATTGTCTCAATAGACATTTTAAGGTAGGCATCATCTAAAAAGTAGAAAAAAAAGATGTTAGAATTTTTATTTTATAAATTTGATGAAGGACAAGTAAGTTTTCGGTACAAGTTTTTGTGTAAATATAAATTTAAGATGATGAGAATGTCTTTAACCGCTAATAATATTTAAAAACAAAATTTTATTTCTTTGAAAAATATATTAGAATATATAAAATAAATATAATTTTTGATATAATAATTGCAATTTTCTTTCCTATTGTTCTCGTGATTTAATTATAATTAAAACAAAATTTTCAAGACCTAATCGTCGTCAACCTTGTTGCGAAATATATTTTAAAAATTATTTGTTCATATATTGCCAAATATGTCCTATAATTAATTTTATAAAATGAAATTAAATATTTTTTTTCTTTGATTTATAAGACATAACACAGTTTCATTAATATTTCAGAGAATTATTCTATAATATAAAATTGTATCAAGAAAAATATAATTATATTGTGATAAATTGACAACAATGAATGATGTAAAATTGATAAGTGGTGTATAGTTTGTCAAATTTTATGAGAATTAATAAATAAAAAATACATTAATATTTAATGTTTTGAGCGTTGACTTATGTTTGTATTTTTTCAAGAAAAGTATAAATATAATATTTTAAATATTAAAAATAATAATTCTCATCAATGTTAAATTTTAACTTACCATTTATAAATACAAAAATATTTTTTGACTCAAATATAATGAAAGCTAATGATATAAGAAATTAAAAAAATATTTGAATTTAAAATTACTCGAGCTTATAATTATTTGAAATGTCACGTAAAAAAGTTCAAAATAAGATGTTTACGGAAATCTTAAGTTTAATTGACGTGAAACCCGCAAGTATAAATTCTAGAAATGATAGCAATTTCGTCAGTAGTGACGAAAAAACAGTAGAATAGTAATGAAAGAACAGAAGTACAGCCTGAAGAGTAAAATAATTAGAAAGTAGTGATGGTGACATTAAATAAGACTCTTGAAAATGTAAGCCCAAAAGAAAACGATTGTTATTCAAGAAAATATATAATAAAAATTATTTTTTAAATTGTAAATATATGTGATAATTTATGATTATATTTTAATTCATTAAAATTTTAGTGAATAAAATTATTAGCACAGTGTATTTTATAAATAAAACAATTTAACACTAAAAATGTTTAAGTTAAATTAAAAATTATGTAACATAAACAAGAATCTAGAAAATAAAGGACTACTAAGGTAATTAAACAATCGTATTGTGTATAATAAAAAATATGATATAGGAATACATCACTTATGAAAAGTGAACACATGAGATTACTTAAGTTTACATATTCACAGAAGTTAAAAAAGTTATTAAATAGCAATAATTAATTAATTTAATCTTTATAATAAGTATTTTTGGGTTATAACATAAAAAAGCTCAAAAACATGATTCTACTCGGCATTCAATTCAAATTTGAATTGAATGCTGAGTAGAATCGTGTAGACAGTACTGCAGGTTATTATTTACTAAATTTTCATTTCTAATTAAATGCTCGACAAACAGCAATTAAATCACTTATATAGATGACAGCTGTAATTGAACGTCAACATCATAATTATTTGGCGTATTTAAAAATAACATGAGTTTTACGAGTCACTGTACATTATAAAATAATTCGCATTCAATAATAAAAAGGTAAAATCATAAAAAAATCAGCAAAAATTTAGTGTAAAAAATAAACTTCAAGTCCAAATCATGTATTATTTTCATTGTAAAATTAATTTTGGTTAAGTATTCATTTTTTATTCAGTTACCGATTTTATGAAAACTATTTAAAAGCTATCTACACATGACATTATTCATGTATTATTTACTAATTTATTTTATATTTTAAAGTATATATTAGTACTTAATTTGTTTATAACATTTTTTTCGCTAGACATAAAACATGAGGTAAATTATTTATTGATGATGGCTGTCTTATTAAGTTTAGGAATCAAATTTAAATAATTTAATAACTCCAAAGTTTTTTGATGCAGAATGTGAAGTTATAATATGCTTTGAGCTCATTTTCAAAGTAATAAATTTTAGTAGGTTTTAGAAACTGAATGAGTTATTAAACTTCTTTTATGAAACACGATCAATAAAAGCATTCCTGACGTATTCTGTACAACCTAAGTAGTTATTTCTATACATTGCTTATACGTTATTTCTCATTTTATTCTTCATTTCCATAATTCATTTTTTAAACATGAAATCAATGAGAAAACTCATTTATCACCAAGTTTAGTAAAATAACTTTAGTAAACACTTCACTAAAAAAGCAATGTAAATTATATTAATAAGTTTTCAGTATTTCATCTTTAGTATTTTGAAAACAAACTGAAATTAGTTTACGTTTTAAGTAAAAATTAAATGAGTAGTTGGAATTTAACCTTTTAAGCTCATGAAATGCAGAGTTTTATCTAGTTCGGATATTAAAAAATTCCTATGATATTTCATTTCTGTCTCTTAAAATATTTTTATTTGTAACTAAATTGGTGACAACTGAAGAAAAAAGTTAATTTCAAAATTGTCTGCATGACGTCTTTTGCGGTATACGACAAATCAATTGGTTAGATAACATATTTTTTGAACACACAATTATTTATTGATTTAGATGAGCAATTATTTAATCTATATAATGTGTCATAATTGTAAGACTGAATTGCGTTATAATGTAATATTTCTATAAACTATACATTATTTATTGTATTATAAGTGATAAAGTAAATACAGAGAATATATTTTGAGAAACTTTTTATACATTTGAAACCAATGATATGACTAGTAAACAAAGAATGAATGTAAAGAACTTTCATTCTCATTTTTTTTTATGAACTATTATAATAACTAGACCGAGATATTTAAAAGAAAATTGGACAATTGTTGTTCGTACTTGATGCTTTGAGCATAAAGTAATTTATATTGAATGAGTACAGAACACAATGTTTAATAATTGAAAAAATTATTTTGTACGATTACAAATTGTACACAGAATACTTTTTTTATAATCATTACATTATTCTCATAGTATTGATGTATTTTGTTTGAAAAAAAAGTTTTACACATATTATTTTTAAAATAATAATAATTACTCTACATAATAACGAAGTTGTAAAACTATGTAAAATATCGCTCAAACTTTTTCGATTAGCTTTAATGTTCGAATTTTTTATTCTAGTTCAATATTAAAATGTTATTGTTTGTTTTGGCATCCATTCGACTGAACAGTAGAAGTAAACAAAACATAAAAACATGCCTTAAGATTAAACCATAAATGTATTTTTATATACCGAGAAGGTAGCATAATAAAATATATTGTTTTATTTTATAGGCAAATTATGATATTTTCATGGAAAAATCTCACATAACAAACAATAAAAAAAAAAAAAAAATTAATCGTGTTTTTTAATATTTAATATGAAATTGATTTTTATTCACAGTATTTGCAATTATATAGGTTTAAGTTATATGAATTTTTTTATTAAAGAAGTATAAAAATTCATTTGAACCATAACTTAGGATATAAAAACTATTTTATAAGTTTAAATTAATTTTTTTTCATATATCTAGATTGTTTGATAGTATTTACTGATGAAATAAGTCTTATTAACTAAAATGAAATGCTTTATAAAACAAACAAAATGCCTGAAATGAATGTATCGTTCACTACTGTATAATATCAATAATTCAATATTCATAATCGAATTTCGTAATGACTTTTGTTGTAAAGTGTAAGCTATGGAATAAAGAATAAAAAAGGGCTGCTGGCGTTTTAGTGTGTTTATCCACAAACAAGTCTCCTGATTAAAATCAGTAAACATGAATGTAAACTAAATTTTACGTATTGTCTATTTCTATAACATAATTATAATTTCAATATATTTAGTTACTTAAATAATTAGGGTGTTGTTCTAAGATTGATCTAGGACATTAAGTAATTAAGTGGGTTTCTCCAATCAATCTACCGTCTATTATTAACGCTATGACACACTTTGATCACTTTGATAAGAACACACAATTAGTTATTATTTGATACACAAACAATAGCGGATTATGGCGAATAATAATATATTAAACGTTACAACGGAGTATCTTTTAATATATTATTATTCATACATCTCGTATGCTGACAGCTTTTACGATAACCATGTATTTTTATATCATGCCACCATTTAAAAAGAGGTGATTTTTTGTCAGTTTTTTAAATCAATTTCAATATAACACTCTTAATTAAGGGCTGAGTTAAAAAACTAAAAATATATATTAAAGGGTTTGATATTTGATTGAGATGGGTGTAAAAAGAAAAGTAAACGGATAGTTCTCAAACATGTGAAAAACTCATAAGTAAAACGATCATGAGCGTTGTAGAAATAATGGACCAGATATTTATTTGATGTGCAAAATCCATTTTATTTGTATTGCTGTACATTTACCAAGAGATACATGTAAGTTTTTATACATAGAATCTGATTACGTTGAGCTACAGAATAGCTTAGATCATTGAGGTTTTTGGTGTATATTTATATTTCGTACATTTTGCAAGCTTATGAAAAAATGCGCCAAAATTCGTTGATGTGTTTTTCAAGATTAAAACAATTTTTTAACAGTAAAATAAAAATAAAAAACCCCAACAGACAGAATATTTTTTAGTTTCGTTTTCTTGTCCCTTTTTTGTAAGTGAACACAAACAGAAATTTGAGGGCAAGCACAATTCTAATTTTCATTAGAGAAATAATAATTTTGTTAATGTTGTCAGTATATTTAGTAGTCAAAAACTTTATAATGTACTTACATTAAAAGCTCATAACATGATTAAAATTTGAGTGTTATTTGAAAAGCTGCTGTCGGACAAATCTTTCTATTTGTGTCGATATTCCTTTTGTATGCTCTTTAGGATTACTTAGCGTGACGTAAAGTCTTTGGTGGGTGGAAAGCTCAAAGGACGGTATTTGTATTGAGTACAAACTAAAGTTATTTCGCCAAATTGTGAGCATTGGGTTGGTTTGTAAAGAGAAAATAAAACCAGACGAGATTTCTTAATAAACGAGTAGATCTACACCGAAATAAAAATTCATAAATTGCGAATTACGAATACGTCAGTAAAAAGTTTCTTAGAGCGTATGATTTAGATATTTTTGTTGTACTTATAGATTACCAAAAGCGCTTACAAAACGCCGGTACTGATGTACAACCAAAGAAAATACTGTTTGTTTTCATCGATAATGTGAATAAGGCTATTTTGCGTTTTTAAAAATAGAAAAAGAGTCTTTTAATAAACTCATACATTATATTAGTAGTACGCGCTACTTTAAGTTTGCAGAAATCACCAGTATAACAATAAAATATGAATTACGGAAAATTATAGACATCTAATTAAATTGCCCGCATACATATGATACTAAATATAATGTTTATTTGAGAACCCGTTCGAATCACTGTATAAATATAATCTTAATTTACGCACAAGCTCGTGTATAAGTTAAATAAATACAAATAACATACAGTAAGAATATACGATATTTAGTTAGCAATCAAGTTATTAAGACGTTACTGAATTGATATGTCTGCTACTAAAATTTTGTAGAAGTAACGAAGCTTGAGATTTTGTTTAATATTTGAGGTGAAAACACTCCTTCTTATGTATACGAATGTACAAGGTAATGTTGATTAAAATGAAATACATTGAGTATTGGCAATAGATCTATTTGCTTAAGACAACAAACATTTTTGGAAATTTATGAACAATTTTCAATTAAGTAGATATCAATATGGATCATAATCAGCATTATTAATATTTTTTTTTATTTTCTAATCTGAATAATAATTTTCAGTATTTGAATAAAAAGTCGTTGTTGAAAATAAACTAAAAAATAAATCTTTTTTGACATTAAATTTCTACTAAATTGAAAAAGTGTATTAATTATGTAAAATATTAAAAATTACTAGACATCTGAGTAAATGTAATTCGGTGCATATCAAAAAATGAGCTTATGATAAATACTGAAGATTTTTGTAATATAATTGCTTGTGGCAATTAAATATTATGTTAATAATAACTGTTGATTTTGATTATGATATAATTATTTGAATGTTGCTTATTAAAATTGAATTAAACAAGTATACTTATTACTGACGTTAAGGGTAATGATACCTAATAAATAAATTCAAAAGTGTTTTAATTGCTCAAGGCACATACAATAAATAATACGGGTGTACTTGTAATTTGATAGATTTAAATTAATGTTTTATGAGAAACAGTTTATTTTCAAATTAAAACTATGGTGTTGAATTGTGTATAATGATTCATTTATACCTAAAATAATATCAAATAAGATATTCGTATATTTTATTGATTTTAGAAGTCAATTATTTCACCTAGTCATTCAGAATGATGGATCACCGAAATTTTGATAAATTAATAATTGGAATTTGTGATAATTTTGTATTCAGCAAACAAAAGACTAAATGAAAATAAAAACTAAAGACTCGAAAATTATAATTAATCTTAGTTAAATCAATACGTCCTGCAAATAAAAACTTACGAGTTTTTATTTATTAATTTCATTGATAATAATAAAAAAAAAAGTGAATATTAATATAAATTATAATTTAAACAACTTGTTCAGTGTTAACTATTGGTTTTAACATCCCTGAAATTTAAAATCAAAAGAATATTTAAATTCCTAGTAAATAGTGAAGTCGATTTGGTACATAACATAAATTGAATGTTCTAAGTATGTAAAAGTCTTCAAATAATTTCAAAACGTATTGTATTGGGTTTAAAATAAAGCATTTAGTTTGCTAGCTTGTCGAAGTTTAATGGTAAATGCTATAAATAACGGAGATATAAAATCATTAACGATGGGTTATTTATAAAACTGTACTCAGTTGAAATAATTTTGACTGAAGTGGAACAGAAATATACTGAACAATGTATTCACAAGAGTAAACATTTATCATACTTAAATCAAAGAACTTAAACAACAATATTAATGGGGTAAAATGTGTTAATTTAAATTTATATTATTCTCACGTTTGTATTGAATTCAAGACATTCAGTTTTGATTTTAAATATCTATAATTTTGAGTGATATAGCATATAATACACTACAGTGCATTTGATGATCATAATATACTATAATTAATATAATAAAATGGTGTACATAATGTGTTCGGGGGCTAATTAAAATCCATAGACCAAAAATAATAGTGTATAGACAAATGCAATAAAATGAAAACGTTGTTTTCCTCATTTAACCTCATGTTTGTATTGTTTTCTGACATAATAATGTGATAAATGTCGTGTAACACACATACTACATAAGTTACCAGCCGATACAGCTGCTGAATGTTGTAAATTGTGAAACATGGAATTGAATATAAAATTATAATATTAAAATCTCAAAGTACTTGTCTTATGGCAATTTAGAAAATTAAAAAAAACAATTAATTACAAAGGTAAAATTATCTCTAAAATTATTTTTGACACCAAGTGTTTCGAGTAACTTATGACGTCTATAATATTAATATATATGATTCGGAAATATTTATAACATATTGTTAATGTGTAAGACGCATTTGAGACGAACAAGAAAGATAAGTTTCTCGATTGCACAATGATTGCAACAATTCTGTTTGGTTTGAAGCGTACAATTTATATTCTGATTGAAAGTTATTAAAAGTATTTTCAAATCAATTGAGAATTGATAAAAAATCTATTGATATAAAGTTTCTTAAATGTTTTAGAGAACTCAAGTTAATATAATTAACTAAATTAAATTAAATTTATCAGAAGATTCAAATGGTGTACTTCCAATAAAGAATAGAAAAAAGTTGCGATTCACTTTGGTGTTATTCAATTAAAAATAAAACATTTTTCTAATCAATATTTGAAATATTTTTTATAAAACATAAATTTTAAGTCACTTTTGAAAAAACAAACTTTAGAATCGTTTTATTTAACTGTAATCAGCACAGTATAACAATTTAAAAAGATTCAATCGGTTTATAGAGTTTCACAACATGAACAGGATAGTGGAAATTATTCTTTAATTTTTTTTTTATATAACAATAAATATAAATATAAAATATAATATTTATACAATAGGAAATATATTTTACTTACGTTTTACCATGAATGAACATGCAATGTTTTTTTTATAAACTTTAATTTAATTTACATTAAGTTTCTTGACTATGAGGTTGTGACAAAGACTTTTCCCATATTTCAAAGTAAAATAATTTTGTTGTTATTGTATTAAAGCATTTACAAAAGACTAATGAGAATTAACGGGGCCAATCAGTTTCTTTAATAAATTTCAATTTTGTCAACATGCACATTATTTGCGAACAGATTTAAAATGTATACAATAGATATTTAACAAAGTTATTTTTAAGATAAATAATAGTTTTTTATTTTGAGCAATCTAAAAAAGTTAAACTGTTAACATATGTATAAATATTATGTTACATCTCCAGAAGTAGATAGGTGGCAATAATTGTACTCAGTGTACTGCTACCTAATAAGTTTGAGTGTTTGGTTATCTATGTTTCTGCTGAAGATAACACTTGTTTCCCAAATGACAGTTGTGTTAACATGAACTTAGTTTTCAAATTAGACAATATTACAACTATCCCATATTATACACTTATTATATTTTACAATGTATTATATGTCATATAATACATTTGTTACACTTATATATTCACGTTAAATTGTCTCAATCCAGTGAATTGATCAAATGACGTCAGAAATTACTCTTATGTTTATAGTATATATGTATTTATAATACTGTTTTATTAAATAATGGATTTTTTTATGTAATTATTTATTATTGTGTATCATTTTCATCTCTTAAGCCAACTAATTAGGCTCAGCTCTATCTTACGATTTGACAGGAATTTACAACTACTGTCAACCTGACGCAACCTCATTATTAGCTAAGGGAGTCAGTATGGGGGTAAGAAGTATGTCACTGTTCCCGGATGGGTGACCATCCTGAAACCAACAGCAAACACCGCAGCTAAAAATCTGCGCTCAGGTGGTAACTGAATGATCTACTGCGCCACACCAGACCTCCAATTAATTATTATTGTGTATAAAATTGATTTGATCTAATGATTACATTCCATTAAATTTGATGTATATAGTAAAGAGTAATAATACTTGTAATAATTAAATAAAAAAAAAAAATTACACTGCCTTAATAAGAGAATAAAAATATCATTGGTTAAACGTCTATTCGTTATCAAAAATAAGCAACATTATATACGTATTTCATATAAAATATATATAACATGCTTTGTTTGGTAAAAGGTCCGGAAATTATACAAAAATAATTTAAAATAAAGAATCTTGTATTTTATTCAGGATTTTTATGCTTATTTAACTCTCAATGATACAGCTTTTCATTTTATTTAGAAAATAAATCTTAAGTAATGTTACTTTAATTAATTTTTTGATCCAAAGTGATTATTATTATAATATTTTATTTTGCACGTCATCAAAATGCAAGTGCTTAATTGTATAACATTTTCTTGAGTATTAATAATATAGAAAAACGTTCGATAAAGCTCTAAGGAGATTGGTTACTAACAAACAATGAATAGCTCAAAAATAAATCAATACGTAAGTCATCGGTATGTATATTATATATACATCACTTATACATTGTATAAGTGATGTACAAACCATTTAAGTATTTATTTATATTTTTAAATCAACAAAAAACTACAAGTAAGAATAAACCTTACCTCCAGGATTGACTACTCTATTTTGCGGTGTGTTATTGCCAGTGGCTCCGGACGACCTTCGAGATCTGTTGATAAATAAATTCATAAATTTTTATAAGGTAAGATGTACATGCTATTTATTATTGTCATCGAAATCGAAAATGATATAGAATGAATTTTTTTTTGTCAACGTGTAATTAGCGGAAGTATACTGTGTAATAGGTATATCTTTAATCAAATTATGAATAGAAAAAAGTATCGACTTGTAATTTAAAATATCCATTTTTTAATGGATATTTTGAAAAGGATTTTTCTTTTTTATCCAGACCGTAGTTTTCGATTTTTATTGGTAAATCAATATAATTAAAAATCGAAGTTTATATTTGTGTTAAAATTTTAAAGAAGAAAATAAAATTTCCCTTGGTATACATTACAGAAGACCGTGACAACACGAAATAAAAAAGTTTCATTTCAATAACTTGATTATTAATAATTCTTTACAGTTATTATGTCTAATGCATAGTTAATACCACTATAAATAATTACTTTTTACAATTTTTATTTAATTAAAGTTTTAAACTAAAATTTTGTCAAATTAGTATAGTTAATAAGATAATGCATGAAAAAAAAAATTAACTTCAACTCGTTTTATAAATTAAAATAACAAGTTTAATTCAATTACAGAAATAAAACAATGAAATTAGATACAGTGTAATAGAAAATTGATGAGTATTTTAAGGAATTCAAATTATTATTATTACTAACATATTTGCATATCTTAGCCTTCACGGTATATTCAAATGTGGATACTTTAATAATGAGGTATTAGTACAGATAACAAAAATTATCATTAGTCATCAGTATTTAAATTTTTTTTAGATATTTTAGAGATTGGAGATAAAATTACAGTTTAGTGAAATAATTTATTTTTCTTTCATTAAATAACAATAAATTTGACACCAGATAAATGATTTTACAATAAATATACAACTAAACTATTTTTAGGACTAAAATTAGAATAATTATTTTTAAAACAAAATACGATAGTGTCATCGTAATGCTCAAAAAGTTAATTAAATTAAACCATAGAAATAATTTCATATTTATGGAAAAAAATAGTTAGATATTTCGTACTAGTACTACATGGTAAGTGTTTTTAAGATATTTGTTAAGTACTAAAACAGTCATTTTATTTTTCTAACATAAATAATTCTACTTAGAAAAATATTCTATGAAAAAAGATTGATTCATATTATAATATTATTATTATTAAAGATCAAGTATTTCAGAGAATTTAAAATAAATAATAGAATAGTTGTCTGTATACATTTTTAAACGAATTACCAGTGTTTTTGATTATTTTGTGATGTTACTTCTGTTTTTTATCACAATATTTCCATTTTTTTATTATAAGAAAACTCACAAGTATCTATTGTTCTGAGCTACTAGTAAAATATTTTATATGACTAAACATTTTGAACCAGTTACAATGTTGTATTCACTCTCTTTTTTAAATTATTCTCACACATTAGGACTTTAATTACAATATAATTAATATTAATATCATTTTATTAAATAACAAAATTAAAAATTAAAGTATTTTTTTAGTTATAGATGACTATATTGTTCAATAAATGTTACAAAATATTTTTATATAAAAATAGAAACTTACTTTTGTGTGGGTACGTTTGTAAGGCTTAAGAAGTTGTTGCGAACACTTCGCAGACTTGCTAATATTTGCGCGAATGGTGTTACAATGAGATCTTCGCCATGACTAGAAAAAAAAAATTAAAAAATTATAAACTAGTAATTGAAGTTATTAAATTTGAAAATACAATAATTAAAATGATTTTCAGTTTATAGAGCTAAATTGTAAGCTATCTATACATATGACTACAAAGGTTCTATAACTATTTCACAGACAAATTAATACTTTAATTTATATGTATAATACGCATGTCAACGTTTTGAAATGTTAAATACACATATACAAATTATATGGTGGTAAATATCGATTAGCGAACGTTAAATTGTATTTTAATTGCATAGTCGTTTAATACAAATAGTATTGTTACCTCATAAAATACAGATAAAAATAAATTTATTATTTGTGAGTTCAAAACTTTAAACATTTTTATTTATTTATCGATAATTGTATACATACTCTTGTTAGAAAATAATGTTTACCATACACTTTATGTACAATAAAACACAATAGATACCTGCTACAGTCAGCTTTAATGATCAACTTTGGGAAATCTTACCGTGGTAAAAGAATGTATATCATCACGAAAACTTGAAATTTGAAAAAAGGGTTGTTGAAAATATGTAAGTAATTTATTGAGATGAAATAAGGAAGTTTTAATAATTATTGTTAAGAGTTATACAATAATTCACTGTAAAACAATCATATTTTAAAGTGATGGAAATATATTTCAAGAGCGGATTATTAAATGGAATAAAGAACAGGAATTAAAGTCGAGTTTTATAAAAAGAATATCTACCACGAATATAACCGAAAACAAGTTGATTGTACTTGAATCATCAAATGTCGATTCAGAAAATTCAATAAATTAATTGAACAAAAAAAGATAATTTAGATCTTTTGTAAAAATTATGCAGCAACTAATGTTAGATTTTTTTGCATTATTTTCTGCAAGTTTTTACAAATAACCATACTAATAAAAATATCAAGTCATATTACATTTTCATTTAAATTACAAATGTAAAATAAAAAATGACAACGAAATAATTATTTTTCAATTTCACAGGTATAATATTACATATATCGTCGCTTGAAAATGAAACGGTCTAACGCAAATAGATGATTTTTAAGTAGACTGGTTTTAAAAATAAAATTATCGTATAGTTATATAGAACTTTTAATTTTAACTTACTAAATAATGAGTGTTAGTACTTCATTTAAGGATTAAAACATGTGTAGATATTTTTTAAATTTATTTATCGAAAACAAATTTTTCTAAAAATGTTTCATTAGAAACTTTGTATTCTGAAGTGACAACATATGAATCAAATGGAAATAGGAAGAACACTGGCATATTTTCACTACTTTGACATTTATAGTGTGGAATGTTATCATATCATAATGTACAGCTTTTTGAGTTGCTGCAGGCAAATTCGCTTATTCAATCTTTATTGAATTGCATGTACATTTTTCTGGGAGTCAGACGTTATTATTATATACATTTCATAGCACTTTAATAGATACACACTAAATCGATAGGATTTTACCGAGAAAGGTAATAAATATGAGCATAACAATTTTTTGAGCTTCCGGAATGACATTTTTTCTATTTTTACTCAAGATACAATTGAAGTGTGAGATAAGTAATTTCGAGATTGAGAAAGTAAATGACAATTTCGGTGTCTGTTTTGGTAAGATTAGAACGTAACATTTTTTATACTATCATGAATGACATAAGTTAAAATATAATTATCATTTACTATAATTTTTACAATAAATTATGTCATATAGAATAGGTCAAAAAAAAAAATTAACTTATAAGTGTGTTTGATTTACTATTTCAAAAAAATAGATTTTCATATCAATACTAAATGTTAAAAGTTTATCCTAAAAGAAAATATTTTAACTAATTTAAGAAAATTGATATTTAAGTTGGTTAATTGTTTTTTTTAGAAAAAGCCACGTTTTGAGTGACCCGTATAAAATATTCTGCCTACTTTAGCTACAAAGTTGTAATAAATAGTATAAATAATTTATCATTATACACATTTATATACAATAACAGTTATATAATTACTGAAAATGTTACTATTAAATAATTAAGGAAATAAAACAGTTTATTGTTTTATTTAAATAAAAGTAAAGTAACAAATTACGGTTTTGAACCAAATAAGATTTTATCATACTAAGAACTTATTGAAGTTTAAATTACTTTTTAATTATTCTATTCGAATATCTGTTTGGAGAAACTATTATATAATAAAAATACAATTGGTTGTTGGTAGAACTTTATGGTTATTATTTAATCAATAAAACGAGCCGGAAAATTATTACAAGTGAATAATTTGATTATTTTAAAATTACATTATTCTTAATATTTTAAAAACGGTTTAAATGTTACATTTAAACTAAATCCATTAGAAAATCCAAAGTTCAATCTAAAAATGGTTAAACTTTGGAGTAAAATTGGGAACGTTTGATCTAAAAAGAAATGCTCTCAACTACCTAGTAACGCACTTCTGACAAAACTATTTTATACATCGACAGACAGGTTACTTGCACTTAGGTAGTGACACAGGTAGTTATGTACAAAATCGATTTCAATTACAAAAAAAAAACATAGTCACCACTTTATCGTCTATAAAAGTGTGTAGAACACAAAAATAAACCTTTGATCTCTTTTACAAAATATACCGTTCACAGTCGCGGTAGGCTGAAAAATATTTAAGATCAGCCATTGTAACGAATAGGCCACCATACATCTAGTTGCGTTACTTTTTTTCTGAAACCCAATAAGTGCTACTGGGATTTAAAAAAAAAAATAGGTTATATTCTGTTTAAGGGTGAACTCTAGATGGAAAAAAGGAAAATAAATAGTCAGGTTCAAACTTTTTGTTTCCGCGAGAACAAACATATATGGTCATACACTATTTCCTTCTCAGTCCTCACAATTTTGCACACTCTCGGAAAATAACATTTTCTTTTAGACGTTACAATAAAATGAAAGAATCAATAATATTTTTCAGCAAAAAATCTTTAAACGTTATTTAGAATGATTTACATGTAACTCACTTCATAAAATATGTTTAAATATCGATTATATTCAGTTTATTTTGATGTGTTATTATCAGTTTTGGAATCCATAAAATACACGTAGGTTAAAAGATATCATTAAATTTCCACAAAATGTATTGACTACATTTAAAAAGTATTACGACGTCGTAAGTATCCTAAACAGATACTTTTATGGCATGTTTATTCATTTATATGGGAATAAATCCAATTACAAACTAGACATAATTTATCTACATTTTCCAGAACAACATTTTGAAAGTTTTCAGAAATATATCAATAAAAATGTTCTTTAAAAGATATATTTCATTGAAAGAAGTAATCGTAGATTGAGTTATAGTTTCTATTTATTTACATCAATTTCTATTGCGATTTAAAATATTATCAACATTATTAATTAAAATTGTTTACGCATAAATAGCAACACATAAGGAAAATGACTTTATATTTCATTATTTATAAATTATTTGAAATTTCTTCCTTTGTGAGAGATAAAAAAGAAATTCACATTGTAGAAATTTGTTATTATGTGTGTCGTGAAATATATTTTTTGTTTGCATAGGCTTCGAAGCTTGATGTCTCTGTAAAAATATTTAATGGTTATAGAAGATCTACAGTATTTATTTCGAGCTCATTAAATTCAAAATATTAGTATAGAAAATTGTAACAATACCGTAACAATAAAGCCATTATTTGTATAGATGTTTAAAAATATAAATAGTGGTTGCTGAAAAACTGTCATTTAATAACTAAAGTTTGATAAATGAAAGTATATTACTATATTGTTAGCATCAAGTGTAGAAAAAAAATGTAAATTTTAAAATTAAGATTATAATAAAGAGAAAACATACGAGATCCTTGAGTTATATTCTCTAGCATCATTTATATCACAACTGTTATTTTATTATATCATAACTCGTATTTATAACATTTGCATAACACAACAAAATGTAAAATAAATACAAAATTTATAAAAAATTTTTAAGACGCCATTGAAAATTAAAAACGTAGTAAACGTCACGTTTCGAGTAAAACTTAGTAATATGACTTTTATTTCAAAAGAAAATCTAGTTTATTGGTATAAGTACTATTTTTGAATAACACTAAAGATTAAAGTTTATGCTTTACGGATAAATTTCAAGAAGCTAGTTAAAAATATAAGGCATGTGATGTATGTAAACATTTCAAAAGTCAAATTACTTTTACGCTTACCTAAAATAAAAATAAAATTGGACCATATTCAGAGTGTGTCGGAAAAACAATACCGGATGAATGATAAGAATACAAAACCGCAATTTACCTTACTTGTGCTGTGTAGAATATTTTAAGTATATTATTGGAACAAATGAGTTTCAATTTTTCAGTTTATAAACTACATTGATAGAATTTTAAATAACTGTATAAAAACAAATTTAATGTGTTTTAAAATATGAAAGGTAGTACATACTACTATTTTATTATAAAAAATGTGTAAAAAAATTATTTTAACGATAAAATAAAATAGTTTTGATGATATTTTGAATGAATTACAATCTCTACTGATGCTATAACTTCTTAAAATTTAAAGAAATATAATATTCATTACAAAAATATTTGTTTATAAATTGTGAATATATTTTTGTTTCACGTTATTTGGTCGCAGTAAAATGAACGCGCGTCATAAGAGACAAATAATTTGGTCGCAGCATTTTTATCGCAACACAAAAATGGCGCCAATCATATAAGCACAATAACAATAGTAAGAATGTTAAAATAATGTTTTTAATTAGTATGCTCGAGTCGTATGCACTATCATGTCTTTGATAAATAAATTATTTAGGTGATATAACATACGTTTAGCCGAAAAAGTAAATATTTATTAGTATATAAAAATTATATTCATCGAAAACAACATGATCGTACTGATATTCCAGATTATTTTACAGGAATACTGTAAGTAATAAACATTTTTTTACTCGAGAATAATTAGAGAAAAATTCTTATAGTAAAATGATCTC